CTACCAGTAACCACTTCTTGATCATTAGAATCTTCACGTTTACTTTTTTTAATGAAAAAATTATTCATGATATTTAACGACATAATTAACTTCAATATTTTATAATAAAATTGCTGTAAAGAAGGAAAAATATTTGTATATGATGCTTTTTCGTTATTGTCTGAACATATAACAATAATAAAAACAACTACTTACTGCATTCAACGCATTTATATTGCACTTCTACTCGTTGCAGGAACAGAAGAACAGACAACTAGTAACTAGTTCGTTTTGTTTCTAGTATTTACGTGTCGCCAATTACCGAGTCACTGAGACAAGTGACGACGTAACAAGATTAGTAGAAAAAACCAATATTCATTTTTTTTATAATTGTTTTAATTATTTATTTAATTTAATACTTTAATTCAATTATTTTAAGTAATTTTAATTTAATTACTTAAAAATTTCGGGCACCCTTGTGGCGTACTTGAGGCACCCGCTTTGAGAACCACTGCTGTAAGGTATAGTAAAAACTACCTGGTTCCTGTGGAATCTATAAACCACATCCCTTACTCTATATTCAGTGAAAAATTCTTCTGAACTACTACTTGATTCCAAGAATTTATATAATTTATTTTAAACAAAATTAATATTTGATTCGCTTTTGTGGGTTGATCGGCTTGACCAATCTTGTTTATAGCTCGTACTCCCTTTTTATTGTCTGCGGCGCCGCCAACTGGAGGTTTAAATAAATGTGTTACCTCGGCCATTGAAATCGTCAGACTTAAATCCAATAGAAAATACGAGTATTTGGGGAAATTGTTCAATATGGAACTGGGAAAATAATTTTACGTCAAATAACATATATTACTTCACAATAACATTTAAACAATTCCACAAAACTTAAGTATCCACTTTGTTTTAATCAAGAGATGCTAGATTGAAAGAAGTGATCAATGAATACATCAGGTAATCGGTCAAATTATTAATCCATAATATAATATTAATTTATAAATGATATACTGTATATTGCTTGAATGTCACATTAATTGGTTAGTGATAATTTGTTTGATTTCAATAATAGTAATACATGTTAAACATTACATTTTAATGTATTATTTTGTTTGTTATATGACTACAATTTTTTTATTCGTAAAAATATTAATTGTATGAATACTTTCTTAAAATATGTTAAGTAGTAATGTCATATTCTATACGCCCACCAGTGGCCAAGCGGTCTTCGTTCCCTGAATACACTGGCAGTTCGGCATCGCGCCTCACTCGGATGTGCTGGCCACGCGGAGTTTTCCGAGTTTTCTCCATGTCTGTAATGCCTAAATAGGGTCCAGTTTCCCCTAAAAAGCACCCCCATGTGTTGAGTTGCTATAACTTAACTAACAAACAACATATTTTATATTTTACGAAAACTATTATATTATCAAATAAAAAGCAAAGATGGTTGGAGCAATAACATCTGCAAATATCCTTTGAATGAATTAGTTCACCTTTTTTAAAAAAATATATATTTAACTTTAATAATAAATACTAGGCAATTTGTTAAATATTATAAAATACGCTTGGAATAACTTTGGTCATTCTAAGTTAACGTTGATATTCGATTGATCTAGTCTGAGTTATGCCCTATGATAATCTGATTCTGTAACGTCATATACCTGGAAGGTGGCGATTTACTTTTGCCGTGGTCCGTACCCTTCACTTCTAATTTTTTATTATTCATTGGAATAGTGAATATCTTAAATTTCTGGCATAGGTGACAAAAATTCTGGATTCGAGTTTTTGCTGTTAAATACAATTTATTATCTATTTATAAAAGTACATTTAAACATTCTTTCCTCTTGTATATTTATATACATGACACACACATTTCAAATTTAATGACATCTTTGCGTAAGAGAAAGAATTTTGTTTAGGAATTGTTGGGTAAAACAACTGAGCTTCGATTTTCGAGGAATTTTTGTTTTTTTTCTAACCTTAGATCGAGACACGACTGCGACGTACGATACAAATATAAATTATGTACAATGTCGACGTGCTAATCCATTTAAACGTTAGCTCAGTTCGAATCCCGATCCCGACTCGATGGCGTACAACAACTTAGCACGAAGCGTTTCTTCGTCTTTGAATTCGGGTAATTTTAGCAAGTTCATGCAAGTGGATGCCGTGGGTAGTCTGTCCGGTTCGTTCCCGGCATACTGGATACAAAATGCAGGCGAAAGATCCTTAATAAAACAAAATAAAATGTTTGTATTTACGGAACATTTATTTAAAATTTATGAAATTAAGAGAGGAAAAAATCAGTTTATTTAATTATTTCTTTATTTTACCTTGAATCCGAGTAATGGAGGTCTCGAACAACTGGTCACAAATTTTAGTAACTGTCGCTTTCTTTTTTCGTCAAAATTTTCAACTACTCTCCAAAATGCTTTGATTATTGGATGATCAATGGAATAGCCTCCTTCAAAAATATCATGTAACAAATTATTCATTTTAAAATAAATTATACTTGTTGAATAATCTGACACACAGTAATTTTATATAACTGTATACAGTATATATAAAATAACTATCTGAAAAGAAAGATTGACTAATATTTAAGTCAAAGATTAATCAAGAATGTTTTCCAGCAATCTGTTTTTGATGATATTACAATATGTAATGTACTGTACAATGATGATTATAAATTAAATATAAAAAAAATATAAAATTGCAACGTTTAACAATACTTTGTTTCCGTTTGTTCATCCGTCGTTCGCTCCAGTTGACAGTCCACAAATTTACAAACACGGAGGCGACCTTTCACAGAGGCGTGTTTGTAAATTTGTGGACTGTCAACTGGAGTGAACGACGGATGAACAAACGGAAACAAAGTATTGTTAAACGTTGCAATTTTATATTTTTTTATATTTAATTAAATGTAATATTGTCGGCCATGTTTATATTTATTATTTTTCTTCAAAATGATTATAAATGTTTGACAAGGTAGCTGATGAGATTAGGATCGATGCTTCTTGTCCATTATTTTAAGTATTGTAGAAAAACGTTTACCAGAACCTTACTTCATTTAAGGACTTGTTACATGGAGGAGAAGAGTGCACAAAAACTAGAGGACTACAATAGTTTTTCAGATATTTAATGTAACACAAATCTGTAAACTTTTTTCTACAATATCTAATAAAAAAAAATTAATTTATCATTAATAGTTAACTTTGATGTAATTATTTATTTGTATCAATAAAATAATTTTCTCAACAGCAATATTTTTCTTCCATCTATATTATAGAAAATTTGTGACTTTTTTAAAGCTGTTGTAGACAAAAGAATCTATTATAATATACAAGAATAGTTTTTTAATAAATAAGAAAAACAATTTACGAAAAAAAACATTAAAATTAAAATATTCAACGTATTAGGCTGAGTTATTCTAAATGATATTTTACCTGCATAATTGGTGTGAATTTTAAGATCTTCTACATCCACAGGAGTATGAGCACCAGAAATCAGAATCTGCAGTTCATTAGGATCGAACATTCTTAACCATTCCAAATTAATGACATTAGCTAATCCTTCTTTAAAAGCTGCACATTGCACTCTTATCTGCAAATATTGATTCAGTGAGTTATGAATGTTTCATTAATAATATCCATAACTAAAGTTCAATAATTCTGATTTTTCTATAGAAAATTTTTTTTCTAAATGAAAGGCTAATTTACTTTCAGAAATTAACAGCTAAATTAAATAAAATGGTAATATATTCATAATAATAGCAAAAGTAAATACTCAATTTCTATTACAGATTTTAAGGAAGATATTCAACAAGATTTTATTATTTTTATTTCAATTATATAAAAGATATTTTATCATCAATTATATATTCAGATTATGACAAAATTTTAAATAAAAATGTGCTTTAAGTATTTGAAATTGTTGATTAAATCTTGACAAATAATGGCAGTACCTCTAGTTTTTGGAGATGCAAAGTTAGAATTGTATGATTGGCAAAATGTAGATGATGTGAGAGGATATTGATTCTGATTTGTCAATGTGTGACATTTTCCAATGCTTATTCTTTAATTAAATTTATTAAATAAATACAACAAATTTCTCTTACTTGTTTGTTCAATTTATAGTCTGCCATTAAATGAATATACTCAATTCTATTGGAATTTGTGACAGGAATACTTGATCCATTTGATTTCAGATCGACCATCTGAGAAAATTTCAAAGATAATAGAATTAAACATAAATTTTCTATTTTTGAAAAATTTAATTAAACATTTCAACATACTTGATTTTCTCCTAGTTCACTGTTTAAGACTGTAAAGTCTAAACCAATATCAGAGACATCTCCTGTATATGTTTTTAAATACAGCAAATTTCTATATGAAAATATTAAGTAATTATGACAAAAATTAAGAATTGTATAATTCAAATTAGCTTACAAAATTTATTGCTTTACCTACTTGTACATTACAGGATCTAGAGATGCCAAGTGATGTATGTCTACATCTGACGAGTACCTCGCTAATATTTTTGACAGAAAAAATCCAGCAAATGGCAATTCAACAAGCATGTTTTCATAAATTGCCTAAAATAAAATATTTTTATCACAGTGATTTTATCTGAGCAAAAAATAAAACAAAACGAAAAATAAAAATGCATCCATACCTTTCCTAAAATCCGACCAATAAAAAAATAATGCTTTGTGAAATTGTCTACCAGTAGATGGACACTAGGATTAGGATACAGTAGTCGATCATGAGTAGTTTTGAAAAATCCTCTGTTTGGATCAAATGCAGTTTTTAATAATTCACTTAGAAATTCCCGAAATATGCCACCTCCATCTATTCCTGCCTCATCTAATCCTACAGCATTTACTAATTGAACCCTCATCTTTAATTTCAGATTTGGTTCTGCAATTTTAAATATTACAAATTCATTTCTCCATTAAATATTTCAATTAAACAAAAGTAATTTTTCTTAATGTAGGCCAGGATTGGTTAATTTTACAGACTTGACACACCATGTTGGTTAAGTGAAAAATTAGTCTTTGGGTAAAGACTCCATTGAGAGCATGATTATGAAGCTATGTATACAGCCTTGAAAAACTCTTGTAGGTACTGTACTGTCTAATGTTTATTATAAATAATTTAATTTATTATTGTTACTGCAAAATAATTTTATGATTATTAATAGTAATCTATGCTTGCTGATTGGACCGATGAGAGACTATAAGTCCAAAATGCACTTCCAATATTTCCAATATCAATAAAGCATATACCTTTCCACTTGATCTGTGACTTCTTTTCAACACTAAACCTATTAGGTGTGGTCTAAAATTAGCCAACCTTTGGCTGTGTTAAGAATTACTCCAGACTAGAAGCAAGAAACTTTACAAGAAAAGCAATTTTATTTAAAATTTTAAATTTTCAGCATTATAAATACTGTACATAAAAATTAAAACTAATTACCATTATCTATTGATAATTTATCAAAGGCATCTTCATAGATATAATTTCTTCTTACTTGTAAATTTATCAAACCAATCATAAAATTAACCATTTCTCCCTGATTTTCTCTCCTATCATTTGCAATTAACGACTGAAATATCTGGAATTATAAAATTTAAAATTAACAATACATTTAACATTAAATTAATCCTTTAATTTAGAAAGAGTTAGAAGAGCTAAAGACATTTCATGTCCAAAACTTTATTTTTCAAAATTTTGAATCATAGTATTAATTAAAAAAAAAAAGCACATTATAGCATCAAAAATCTGGACCACATCCATATTTTCAAATATGTGTGTAAATTAGCAGACTGTCAACCCCAAATACACTATAAATCAAATTTAGATGTTCTAAGTTCAAGCCAGTATTCCACAAGGAATATAGAAATATTTACAAAAATCAAATTATAATTTATAGAATCACTATATTTAAACAAAAAATACACTAATAATAATTTAAAGATTAAAAATTTATGAATACTGAATGAATGTTAGAATATAAACAATGCAGGGTTGAAAGAACAACAATAATGAAGTTATTAGTGAAAGGAATTAATATCTATTTTTTGACAGCCAAATACTGATTTCTGATGCTTCACTGTAATAAAAGATAAAAATTTAAGAAAGTATACCTTTACTCTATCATGAAATGAAACCACAAAAGGAAGTTCTTTAAGTATTGTCATATGTCTAATTTCATTTGCTGTGAGAGGACATCCTTCTTTATCTAAATATCAGTGATCAAAACATTAAAACAATAGTCACAATATATAATACTAATAGCTATAGTATATTATTATAGTTATATAAATTCAAAAAGACAAAATCAATTCAAAAATCCACAAACCATTATTTTTGCCCATCTGTTCTCGAGTTAAGGAACGCATTCCTATGAATGGTCTGTAACTGTGAATTCGTCGGCATCCAAACTGCAAATCTCTTGGCTAAAGTAAAATCATTAAACATTACTGACTTACATTTAATATAAAAGCCTAATTTAAACAATGTTTAAAAGAAAAAACATTCAGAAAATCAAAATTAATTCTAACTTCTTTATTTAATCAGTTTTTACAACAAAAAAGAAAATAAAATAGATTTTTAAAAAGTTCAAGTAAATTAAATTTAATATAATTATTATTTTATAATTATATATGAATTATTTTAATTCATTTACTATTGTTTACTCTTTCTTACCCTATTTATGGGTATCTCAACTTGTGGTGCCAACCAATGGGTTTCTTCACAATATTGACGTCTAGCATCTCTACTGTATAACTGGCGAAGAAGTGTTACTGTAACCTGGATAATATAAAAATACATATTAAATTAAAAAAAATTAAGTGTTTTTAAATTCAAAAATGTGTGATTTTTACAGTATTCATACATATTGAATTTTGAGGAATGTTTTCACTAGCCTTTGAATATTGTTGCTTAGAGGAAAGGTGACAACAATCATAAAGTCATTGGTGAACACATTTAGATGTTTATTAGTCCACAGAATGTACTAACACTGCAGCACACAGTACAAGAAAAATTGAACTGATAGCTTGCAGTTCTATAGTGAGAGGGAGCATTCTCAAAATATGCAAATGATCGTAAATTAACATATGCAAACGTTCAAACTTTGAGAATGTGAACATAAAAAAAACTGATGCACCCTATAGCATGTTTGAACCAGAGACCTACTGATTCATAGATAGAGATTATAACCACTGTGCCATGCGCTTGACAGTTGGAAACAAGTAAATCACAGCAGTATTAGGTAAAAGGATCTTTTTTCCTGACAAGATACAATCGACTCCCCTATAACACTTAATTATTCCATTTTATATGAGTTCCATGTTGTACAAATCACTTAGATTTTACAAATACGTGTGCCAGGCTGTGAACGGCTCACGTATTTGTAAAATCTAAGTGACTTGTACAACATGGAATTCATATAAAACAGAATAATCAACAGTGTTATGGGGGGGGATCGACTGTATATCTAAACAAAGCCATACATGCATATTTTGTAGAAACTAGAAAATAGGCACGTTCAGGTGCTATAAAAACATTATCTTTTCATTAGAATTTATTTTTTGCCTACTTTGAGAATTCCTTGAAATCCATATACTTTTTCACTATTCTCTAAGGCCAAGACTCAACTAGCGTAAAAATGGGCATAAAAACCTTCGCCATAAAAATGTTTAATCATGTGACCTATTTGCGTTTGCATCTGGATTGCGGTGGAGGTACAGCTAGCGAAGTTTTTACAGTGACGGGATACTATCAAAGTTATAAAGACAATGATTATATTCTAAGAGTTTTTTCTGTACTATAATTACAAATGTAATAATAATAATAATATCTTTACTTTCATATATTAACTTTTATTATCGTACCAGGCATTGGGGCATACTAAATTACAAATAAAAATAATAATAATAATATACTGTAAAAATATAAAATAAGGATTTTTCTTTGGCTGTCCATATCACATTTTAGGCACCATTATTATAAGAATCAGAAAACCTCTTGTCATATATACCTCTTTCTGATGTTTGTGATAAATCTTTCCAGATCTATAATTGAGTAACCACAAGAGAATATACACAAAAGCTCATTTTCCTCCATTTTCGCACCATGTCACAATGACCTAGATTTCACTGACTTCCAATTGGTGGATGGCACCGTTTTATAGCCATATTTGCATCAAAAGTTGAACACTGCTCAACTCCCTTTTACACTGGTTTTCAACCTGCTCGGGCATAAAATATCATAATGAGATGTTTTATGCTGTTTTTATGCTAGTGGAGTCTCGGCCTAAGAGAATGCCAATAGACCAATACTACTTTTTATTGGATTGGTATAAAGTAAGATCTTATCACAGAGTAATTCTATCTCAAAACTGAAAAGTGTGTATAGTAGACCCCCCTATAAAACGGATTCATATAATACGAATTTGTATATAACAGCAAAAAAATTACGATCATATTCATATAAACATGCTAAAAGAGACTCGTACGATACAGTAAAACGTCATCGCCAACTCTTGTCACGACAGGATTGGTTGAATCTAGACCAATAGCGGATATTACACAAACCATTGAGTTTAAACGAGCAGCGGACCTACTAAAAACCATTTATTATTTAACGGCCATAAAAATTATATTTATATTAATGATGTCTCCAAAGTTCAGCAAATTTTTCACAGAAAAATAATTTATCTGAAAACATGTGCCCGCCATTCAATGCGCCACTCTACGACGAAAACAAGCTTAATTAAGCAATGGCATCGTTGAACGGTGCACACTCAGTAAGTAATCCTACAATTTTTTGTTTATAGCATAGTTTATATGTATTATTCCCAAAAAATTATACTTGTTTTGGAAGTGTTGAGTCAAATTAGTCTAGAATCGATTAATTTTATGGAAGAAAAACTTCCAAACAGCCGTAGTCTGTAAACTGCATATGTGTTGGGCTGTGATTGGTTCATGTATTTAAGGACTCATACAACATGAATTTCATAAAACACGAAACGTATCTACCATGTTATAGGGGGTCTACTGTATATAGAAAGGCTTTTGTACTTCACACAGTTCAATGCCTAAAGTCAGACTTTAAAAAATTCTTGTGTATGCCAATGGAATCCAATATTTACACCAAGCATGTAAAAAATAATTCATATAAATTAAAGTTTCTTACTTCTGCTTAGGCATTATCCTAGAACTAAAGGATGTCTATCTAGATTTTAGACATTTATTTACACAATAGTGGTAATGCCTTAAGACAAGAAAACATATCATCCATATATTAGGGTAATAAAAAATTGTTAAAATTAATAATAAACCAAATTGAAATGATACTGTTTTTAATCTTCAACTCTTATAGCTACAGATCAAAATATTTGTTTCTCTAATCCAGTGAATGCCATAAATCAAGAAAATTTATTTAGAAGTTGATTACTGATTGCATTTAAACAATATGTTGAATGAGTAAACTATCATTTTCTGATGTCTTCAATGGCTAGTTGATGTAGTGAAGGAATAAGTCTGCCACCCAAGAATTCATAATGCCAAAATTGTGGGTCCTTTAAATTCAGGTCAAGAACCTCAAGAACTTTTCATGGGTAATCTATCCAGATATAACTTATATTTCTGTCAGCAGTCATCCATTATAAGCCTGGTCAAACCAATGATGTGTATAGAATAAAGGTTCTCTTAATGCCTTCAGTGTAGAGAGATTCAAAATGAAGAGTGTGGTCTTCCAGGAATTCATATGCTAAACTTCAGCATAAAATCTAGCATAAAACAGAAAGCATAAAAACTTTTATGAAATTTTGGCTGAAAAATAACTGCAAAAAGTAGAGCTTGTGTCTACTTTTTACACACGTAAAATTTTTATGCCAAAATTCCTCCAATAAAGAGAAGTCTTTTTTTGTGACATCAAAGTAAACATGTGTTTATTCATTCTAATAATGGCAACAATGGTGGTTAGCCCTACAATTGTTACAGTCTCCAAGAAATAAAAAATAAATGAAATAGAAGACTGTATTGAAACCATTCAACCACATAAGTGCCTTTATGACAAAAAGTGTCAGGTATAAAGACACTGTATTTAAACAAAGTTTATGGATGGCTGTAGGTGCTAAATTTGAAATAACAGGTAGGTCTAGTAGAATCAATATATAGTATTTAGATCACACATTCTTTATTTCAATTTGGAATACAAGTCTATTCATTTAAATTTTCTAAATTATAGGAGAGGAAGTGGAGAAAAAATGAAAGGTACAAAGGGATAGTTATACAAGAGAAAAAAAATTAATAAAATATAGCACTGTTAGTGGCAGTGGCGTTTCCTATCCAGCCAGAATTTTTATGCATGTGTGTTCTGGCATAAAAGTGTAAAACAGAAACTGAACCAAAAGGTAATTTCTGTTTCAGTTTCCTGCCACACAATTTTACGCATGTGTATTCTTGGTCTAACATTTTAAACACAAAATCAGCCGATTGAAAAGTTGTTAAACTAGTTTTGCTATACAAGTTCCCCTTATAGCCTGAGGGGTAAAAGAATTTAGTCATTAGCAACAGAGATAAAGTAAGTATACAGTGCTTAAAGAGTTAATTAAATGTAGTGTCAATCAGATTCAATTTATACCAAAAAGATAATCTTATGAAAAAGTAAATCTAAAATTGTTTTACATATGACACTTTTCAGCATTAAAGTTTTTGTACCATATTCTGATTGCAAACAGCAATTTACCATTAACCAAACAAAAAAATTATCTTAGAAAAGCTTTGTCATAACTCAAAACCTGAATGTTAAATCATTTGAGCATTGGCTCACAAAATAATTTAATTTTTTAAAATGAGTTTACAAACTTTTTTGAGGTAAAATTATCATATTTTAATTAAAGGAAATACAAATATTAATCAAAGTCATAGTGACTTTTAAATTAAATGTCCGTGTTTTTTAGATGCCTAAAAAGTAAACTCTAAAAACAAAAAATGCAAGTCTAATAATCATCAAAACTTTCTTGAAATTTGAAATATTACAATTAATAAATTCATAAAACTAAAATTATACATATGTAAAACCACATAACAGATCATTATCATCTATTATATAAATAATCTTATGTGGCAGCTAAGTGAAAAAAGTTTAAACTTTATTATATTAAATCATAACTTTAATTGCAGTGTTTTATTAATAATATTAAAATCATTCTGTACACTAACTTTCTTTGTAAAGGATGTCCCAGCTAAAATCTTTAATTTCAATATAGTAGAGCATTGTTTATCCAAATCAATTGGGGACTGGGGTTGTTCAGATAATCAGTTATCCAAAAAATAAGTTATGTACAAAAAAATATATTAACCTATCCCGTGTTGAAATTTTTCTCCATTGCATGTCACTTCATGTCGAATTTTCATCGATGTTAAGCTTAATGTAAACTTTTTAAAATAATAATCGTGGCTATTGTATCGTTAAAAGTTATTTCTTTATTTTTTACAAACAGAATATATATATTGAAAAATAAAAACAAAAAAAATTATACTTTAGAAGTTAATCTAGTATCAAAAACGTTTGATTCAGCATGACACAGTCCTCGGAAAACACCACACAAAAGTGTCAGTGCTGCCAGCTAAAACACACACATCAACAAAAAAATATTGGAGTAACCCAAGATATAGCCAGAGATTGCAGCGCCACAGCACTAGCGAAAATTTAAACTTGCCAACTGGAATTCTTTCAGATAAACGACGCTCTACTGTATTTTATTGTTTGAAAATGCAACATAAAAAATAAAAATTACAAAAACTAAATGAGTGTGAAGATATATGGTTTTCTACCATATGCTTGGCATCACAGGATGACCAACTGAAATGGTGGCAAAAGTATTAATGTTGGAGCAGTGTATAAATATACTTATATTACCATATACTTTAAGTACTGTACATTTATACATTGCTCCAATATTAATGCATTAGTGAAACAAAAAGTCTTCTTGGAATACAGAGGAAATTTCTTAACGAATATAGAGGACAGGCAATATCTAAAAATGGGATAATAACCACTTTTGTAAGAAGTTTAGGGAAACAAGTTCAGAAATGTATAAGAAATATGTTATGCCTAAGGATGATCTCATGCTAAAGAATATTCAAGTTGTCTCCAAAAAATTTGGTGAAGTCTATGTATGTTGATTAAACACCTTTCAGCTAAAATGAGTATTTCAAAATCCAACTTATAAATGATAAATTATGAAGGAGCTGAATTTGTACCCATACAAAATCCAGGCTCTACAAGAAATCATGTATGTGATTAACAAATGCCTAAATTTCACAAATAGGAGAGTGAATTTTTCAACATAATCCCCCATATCATTTCTCTCTTTTGGCTTATTGACAAAGCCGAGATTAATCTATCAGGCTACACAAACAAGTAAAACCCTTGCATGCTTGTCATCTCATTTTACATCCACAATATCTAACAATTTGGTGCAAAATACTGTCTCATGAAGTGATCAAATGTTTTCTATTTAATGAGAATGTTGAGCACAAAAATTATTGTGATCTAAGGAGTAGTTTTTTTACTGTATTAGGAGATACAGGTAAAAAACATCTATAGTGTGATTTATATAGGATAGTGCAACATATCACTTGATGAATAATGTTCTGAATTAAGAAATTTTCTGTCACATTTAACAATAGTCTTCTCAAACTGTTTTCCTGAATGTTTTGGAGAAGGATATCCATGGTCTCCATCTTCCTCGAATTTAAACCATAAGATAACATTGTGTTTAGGTGAGTCTCTATAGTTATTGTTCCAGTTCACTGTTGTGGTTTTGATGTAAGATAACATCACAGGAAATAATAAATACAAAGAAAAATCACAATTTCACATACTATATTTGGAATTATAGGTACATATCATTCAAAAGGCTGTGGTGCATGTGTCACCAAATTGTTGAAAACTTCATGGTTAGAATAAAAGAAGTTGTTACCCTTGGAGGAGAACACAAAGCCTTATCTAGTGTAATCAAAACAGAACTATATTAAAAAAAACATAATTGTGCTTTTAATGGTTACTGAACACATCACTGTTTTAGTTGGAACATCCTGTATTTTAGTCTTTGCATATTTTATTTAATTTTCAATATTTTTGCTGAAAACCTAACACATAGAAGCAACTTCTTAATTTTAGATAATTTTTTTCTTAGGTTATAAATAAAAAATAAAATTTGTAAAAATTACTTGCCTTAAATAATTGTAACCATTTTTTTACTTCTTGCATTTCTTCAGAAGAAATTTTCTCTGGAGGAGCACCTATACTTAACATAGCTCTTTGATATTCTTTATTAAAAGAGGGTCTAACATCAGGATATGCTAATTCAATTAAACCTAAACAAACATCTCGTAATGTAAGACTAATTGTTGCTAATTCTGATGTACTAAAAGGCATGGTAGATGGATTTGCAAGACCTAAAACAATTTTTAAAAATTTAACTAAAGTTTTATTCAATTATAATAATTATTTTATTCTTACCTGTTTCATCTCCATAAAATTCAATATCATATAATGTAGGTAGGAGATGACCCAAAAATGCACAAAATAAAGTTAACTGAGGAAGGAAGTTTTCCAAATCTGAAGATGACAAAGGAACACCTCTTGCCAATAATTGCAATAGTGATGTCTGTGAACTATAATGATGAAACATTTACCAATAATTTATTTAATAACTTGTGATTATATCCACTACCAAAATACTTACTCAAAAACAACTGATGTTGTAGATGAGACCACAGAATACCACAAATACCGAAGAAATTTTGGTTTAAAAGTCAGACTATACAGTAATCTATTTAAAATATATTGATAATTTCACATAAATATAAAATTTATGCTTTTATTAATTTATCAATTAATGAAAAATTTTCATACCGATATCTATGAATAGCTAATTTATGATGCAATAATAATGTATGGCAAATACAACATAGTGAAATTAATGTTTGACTATTTCCTTCTTCTGTTTCAACAGCTGATAAGAGAATATTAACATGTTGTTGGTTATTCAGCATTTCAATTGAAACTTCAGAAATTCTTTCTAATTCTTCATCCTATGTACAAAATTAATTAAACAAGAACTTATTACAATTAAATAGTGATTTGGTTTTTATAATTTTTATTTTTAATGTTCTTAAAGTTTAATTCTTTATTATATAGTTCTTCAAATATAAGCATTTCAAATTTACACTTTTTGAATACTGGAACTTGTGACTAAGCCTTTTCAGAACCTTTTTATTTCCAGTAAGGTATTATATTTAGATGCAAAAATAAATGTTTTCGAATCTCTATTGAAATCTGCTTCAGGTTCGATATTGTTCTAACTTTGGAATGCCCAGAGTTCAAATTTTAAACTGCCAATTAATTCAAGTATTTGAATTATTTATTACCAAATATTTGGCTATTTATGTAATTCTCCATTATATAGGCCCAGCACCTCATATTAATTTTTTTGTCCGAAATTCTGTAGTGTACAGTACATAGGATCAACAAAAAGGTTGTTACAAAAAAGACTAAAGGAACATGAATATGACATAGACAAGGGTAGGAACACCACAGCACTGGCAACATATGCATCAGACCTGGATGTACTGTACATACAGACTTAGGAAATGCTACTCTTATAAAGAAGTCATTCCAAACTGATCACAAAAGGGTACTGGAAAAACTAGAAATAGCCAACAGAGCAGGGAACTGCATAAACTACAAAGATAACAACACAATATCGTATGCATGGCAATATGCATATGAGAAGGATCCCCAATAATATTAACATCTTAACAGAATTTCAGGCGAAAAAATTAATATGAGGATGATGGGCCTATATAATGGAGAATGACATAAATAACCAAATATTTGGTATTAAATAATTCAAACACTTGAATTAATTGGCAGTTTAAAATTTGAACTCTGGGCATTCCAAAGTTAGAACAATATTAAACCTGAAGCAGATTTCGATAGAGATTCAAAAACATTTGTTCTTGCATCTAAATGTAGTATCTTACTGGAAATAAAAAGGTTCTAAAAAGGCTTACATACATTTCAAACAACAGATCTATAGGTTTAGGTAGTGTAATTGGAAATTATTTATCCTTTTGCTTCTATTTCTTTTTTTTTTTTTTTTTAATTTCAATATATAATCAGTTCAAACACCATTATTTTCTAGGAATTAACACAAACTCAAACAAACACAAACAAACATAATTGACAATGTAGCCATATGGTAAGCAGGCATTATTAAATTTAATAATTAGAATTAAGTTACTTAATTTAGAATATTCTGGAAGAAAAGATCAATTCAGAATGGGACTCAAATCTGCATTTGCATGTTAGGAAAGAGTTGTGGATTTGAGTCCCATTCCAATCAATCTTTTCTTCTAGAATATTCTAAACCAATTAATTTAATTCTAATTATTAAATGTAATATGTGACAACAACTTAATCTCTTAACTTTAGCCTAAATTACTTTATAACTATATATTTAATTACTAAAGTGATGATCTTCTGAATCTGGTGTTATCATTTGATTAATTTTCAATTTCAAGCTTAATTTTTTAATGAAAAAAAAAATCATGTTTTATCATAATATAATATTATATACATACATTAAAAAATTTATAATTTACCACCACAAATTTTGAATACAGAACTAAAGAAGAATATCAAAATTTATTTTTAAAACTTAATTTAAAATTAATTCTCTGTAATCTATAATTTAATATAATGTTAATCCTTTGGTATTACAGTTGACCCCTTAATTACGGTCCCTATAATTACAATTCCTATAAAACTGCGAAAAAATTGTGACGGTATCCGTAAAAAAAGGTAAAAAAACTCCTATAATTACGTAAAACGTCATTGGGCAGCCGAACTACTTTCCCACTGTCCGTAGCGCCACGCTACGGAGAGATTTCTATCGTCTGGACAGTATTATATAAATTAGGTACTGTGCATATAATTATATATAAATTAGGTACTGTATATATAATTATATATTAACTTATTGTAACTTTATTATAATTAAATATATAATTTCCGCCGTCTAGCGTGGCGCCATGCTACGGAGATTTTACGCTAACTATCGTCTGTACAGTATGTAAATTACATACCATAAGTCTAATACAGTACTGTAATTTTATACATTTCTTGTGAAAGAAACATTTCTTATTCAACGGCGATTAAAATTATTTATATTAATGATGTCTCCAAAGTTCAACGAAGTTTTCGCAGAAAAATAAGTTGTTAGAAATCGGCCTCTATTTGCTGAGCTGTTCCGCGACGAAAACCAGCTTTAGCAATGGCAATGTCGAATGGTGCACACTCGGTAAGTAATCCTACAATTTTTTTGCTTATAGCATAGTTTATACGGATTATTTCCAAAAAATATATACGTATTTTGGAAATGTTGAGTCGGATTAGTCTAGAATCGATTAATTTTTTGGAAGAAAACCTTTCAATCAGCCGTAGTCCGTAAACTTCACACGTGTCGGGCTGTGATTGGAAGGACTCGTAAAAAATCGGATTCCTAAAGAATGGAACATATCTATGATCTTATAGGGAGGGGGTCGATTGTACATAATTTTCAATTCTGTAGTGCAAAAATATACATTATAACTATTACTTAGGATGATTATACATAATGCTCAAACTGTATTTAAATTTAGCTCTTTAATTGTTAAAATTACCTGATCTTCATCTTTCATATCTTCATCTCTTTCATCGGCTTCATTTAAGACATCAACATCTTCTGAAAATGCTGGAATAACTGTCACCAAATGTCTTAAAACATGTAAATAGTGAATAACTGTATCTCGTGACAAGATTTCTGCAAAAAATTATTTATGATTAGAGAAGATAAACTATTAATTATAAAAACAGATAGGAAATAAAATTGAAGATAAGAAAACTAATACCCTTCTCCAAAAAGTGAACTTCTTTAGGAGGAGAACTAAAATAGTATTGGAATTAGAACTACATAGAATAAAAATTTCCAGTCTTTAATCTAATATTGGCAAAGTGAGTGAGAAACAAAGCATTTGAAATAAATGAAGTATCAATTTAAAAAAGCATAAAAAAAGAATCTTATGTAAGAATTACATATAAGAAATAAACAAATAATAAGGTAGAAGAGAAAATAAATGGAAAAATATTGTTGAAATCTACTAAAATAATGCTAAATAGATGAGAACTATTAGAAATAAAATTGAAGTAAAAATTCATATTTTTAGGTTTTTAAAATTTATTAAGCTTAATTTTTTATATGTTATAGTTTCTGGATACAAATTCACTGAGATCAGCGTTAGTAAAGTTCCTTTAGTATTAACACAAGCACTTTCAACAAGTGTATAACTGTCATCTTCAGGTGAAATAAACAAATTTTAACAAAATGAACGTGCAGGATGTTCCAAAGGAACAGAATTCGAACATATCAAAAACTATTTGCATGTTCTTAACAGAATTTCCAGACACCTGGTTTGAATTTAAAAATTCTGTTCCTTTGGGACATTCTGCACGTTCGTTTTGTTAAAATTTGTTTATTTCACCTGAAGACAACGGTTATACACTCGTCAAAAGTGTTTATTATGTTAATTTTCATCCATAATTTTGATAGTAGTTCTGAAGTTCAAATGCCAATATAAACTATAGTTAAAATCATTTAGAAACTTTCAAACATTTCAGAACTGTAACAATTTTTTTAATACATGCCAAATGATTCTAATGTTTTCTTTGACACTATATTTAAAAAGAAACTATTTATTTTTTGAATTTTACATTAAATAATAGATAATAAATTTTATTTTCTCTCAGAAGAAAATCTCCTGTAATATAATAACCAGATATTTCTATAAATAAGTTTCCTCCAAAAACAAGCTTTTATGTTTATTCTTACATATTATTTGCTTACTTTGGTGCCACAATTTCTGAGATGATAACATCCTCCGAAATGAACAAGCATATGTTCTTTCCAAATTAGTTTATTATTACAGTAACAACAAATAGTTTAGCCCATTCTTAAAGATTGTAACATCCTGCATTAACATGCAATCAGAAGGAAAGAATAATGCTAAAAAATATCATACAATTATCTGACTTAAAAAGGTTCTTTGGGATTATTTTGTTATTATTTGTTATAAATAGCATAAGCTACAATAAAAAACTATTTTATGTTATTTGATTAATTTAATTTGGCTACATAGAAAATGGATTACAAGTGATAGAACAGAAACTCAGTAGCTTAGATCAATGTTGGTTTAGTGTTGGCAAACTGAAGATAGAAAGCCAGAAATGTAATTTTAATTAAGTTCCAAAACTAAGTTTGAGCTTTTTTTTTATATAATGTTTATTTTTACACTAAAACCTTTCTTTCCATATATAAACTATGGAAACTAAGCCCAAGGTTTATTTACAAAAATATTCAATAAAATATTATAGAACAAATNTTCAAAATCTAGATCATTTGCTACAATTTTATCAACAATTTCAGTTATTTTACTAAGGAAATCTATAGAGAAATTTTTTGGGTTCTTTGTTTTCAGAATTACTATTTTCCAGTTCTACATGAATTCTTTGTTCTGCCAGTTCTTGAAGGTCATCATTGATAAGACACTCACCAAAAACCTGTGGCAACTCCTCAATATCCTGTTCGTCTACATCTAGTCCTGCTGTATCGATTAGGTTGAGTTTGATCAACCTAACAATACAGCGATAGGCTCTTCTCATTAAGAATTCTTGGATACCTTCAGCTACAACATTTTCCACACTTCATTTGTGCATTTATCAGTTAATTCTTGCCAAGAGAAGCTGATATTGCCTATGGCATCCATGATGTTATATTTTTTCCAAAATTGAACCAAACAAACATAGATTTAAAGAAAGTATACTTTTTGCCACCTTTTTCTGATTGGTTCGTGTTTGTAAATAATCGTATTATGTACAAATCAATAAAATGCCGTGATAACTTAAATCGGCGTAAATTTTGAGCTTTTTTTAGGGTTCAAGCAGACGGCGTTATATCGAATCAGCATTAAGCAAGGCAGTGTTAAATGGGGTCTTCTGTATGTATATTAAAAAGACAATAAAATCATCAGTTTATGAATTACATCACTGTTCTTGCCAGGGTGCTAAATATACACTTTTTAAGCATTCACTAAATTTTTAAAAGCAAATTATATTTTTGATATGTAATTTTTCAGGCCCCTCCAGACAACAAGGCTTTAGGTGCATGTCTAGTGTACCTATTGGGTAATCCACCACTGACTGTAACCAATTAATGCTTTTCATACATTTTTTTTTATCATAAAATTCTTTTTTAAGTTTTTAAATATATCTTCCGTTATTTCTAATTTTAAAAATATAATAAATTAAGCACAGGGTTCAAAATTAGAAGTTGTTCAGCTGTCCTAAGCAACCAAATGTACTGTACTTTTAAAACTGTCCACTGGGCATTTATTTATTCATTTAATTTCTTATTTTTTCTTAACTTTTTGTACTTTGTGCATATTTTACCCCATTAAATAGTAAGAAGTAATTTTTAGTAGTAGTAGAAACAAAACAACCATAAGTTTGAGACATCAAACTGTCAAACTTCATTATGATGACAAATCAATATGGCCACCATGAGAGCAGAAACCACAAGATTAGAAAATTAAACATTGACAACAGAAGGAAATAGACTGACAATTTATGAAGTAATAGTAATTTTTTATTATTATATTGTCTCATATTCATTAATTTTATTCTCTATTAAATTTATTATCTTATAATTATCTGAATTAAAAATGTTCTTTGGGATTATTTTGTTATTTGTTATAAATAGTATAAGATTTAATCAAATAACAAACTAGTTTTTTATTAATTTACTTTGCTGCAGAGAAAATGGAACTAAATTCAAGCCATTCAAGGCCATACACAATTATACTTGGGATAAGCTTAGTGGCATCAGTTAGACAAAACCAATATACTCATTTGCAATGTAGTACAGTTTTAAACTGATAGATCATGCTAAAATTTTGAAAAATCTGGTATTATTTAACTGATAAGTTTATCTACCCTCTAAAACCATTGTCAAATTTCATTTTTGGGTGCATGATCAATCATCTAAAACTGATTTAAATTGGAACTTGTGGGGAGAGTTTATTAAAAAAAACTGATGTTAATCTTCAATGAAAAATTAAAATATTAATCAAATTTTTTTTATTTAGTACAATAATTAATGAAAATTATCACATGACAGGCGACATCACGTTGCAGTTATTTAGTGAAAAAATTGTATATTGTTGCCAGGTCAAAATGTAAAATAAACTTTATTACAAATAAAATAGTACACATATAAAAATAATGTATTATTATTTGTAAATGAACCACAAAAAATAACTTTTATAAATGACAGAATAATGTTAGGCTTAACTCAGACAAAAACTTGGCCTGTGGCTGCCAGCATATGTCAAAAAATTCAGCCTTGAATAGATTAAATTATAAATTTGATTCAAACCTAGATAAAATATCTTCAGAAACATTTTACTAAGTAAAACATTCATCTTTAATATTTTGTAATATTAAATTAATTTAGTTTTCTGTTTTATACAAAATAAAATACATAAGAAAGAGCTTATTTTTGTCAGGACTGATAATTTTCCTGAAATAAAGTTTTTATTTTATTCAAATTCTGAATTGAACACGTTGTATTGTGTTTTAACCCAGAAAAATCATGCTTCATAAATAAGTTTTAATCTAATGATTAAATAATGGATACTAACACTGATAAATGAATTAAAGAATTCAGAGAATGAATTCTTTAATTCATTTCATGTGTTTATATTTTCATTTTATTTATATGTAGTATTAAAGAATGAACTTTATTCAATATCCAAATAGTCATTAGTTCGGTGTACCTATTAAAAGGAATTTTAACATATAATCCTTAACATGATTTTTAATACTGTAACCAGTAACAGATTATGTTTCTTTTGAAGACCTAGGTGCAATTTTGTTGTAAGGCCCTTATGTGTTTTTATATATATATAATAAGACCCTGCTTAATGCAAGGGATGTGTTCCTAGATGACAAAGCACTAAACAAAACAGCATTAAATGAAGTCATTTTAACAGAGTAAATAAGGATAGGGAAACACGCAACCAAAAATAAANATGTAATTTTTCAGGCCCCTCCAGACAACAAGGCTTTAGGTGCATGTCTAGTGTACCTATTGGGTAATCCACCACTGACTGTAACCAATTAATGCTTTTCATACATTTTTTTTTATCATAAAATTCTTTTTTAAGTTTTTAAATATAATTTTACTTCATTAAATAATTTTTTTGACAAATTTTGAACACACCCAGTAAGAATTTATAGGCTTATTCAAATGTTTTGAAGATGACACACATTGTAAGCTGCCCAAGATGGCCAAGATTTCTTTTTATGTTTAGACCTAACGAAAGACTGCGTGTGCAAGCAATAAAAAAACTTTATTTTTTATGTAGGTGGGTAATTATTTTTGTATTAACTGGTATTTTCTTAAAAAAGTATGCACCTTTCAGTTTGGATAACTGATTTCATTACAGGACAAGCAGATATCTTGAGCTGGTTGCACGCTGGACAACTATCAGATATTCTTAATTTCTAATTCTGATGCAATAATTTCACTTCATGATATTAAACAACATACCTGTCTGAGGAGAAATTAAAGCTAACACAGCATATAACAACCATGGTGAAGGAGATATTGTCAAGCACTTATAACGGTTAGAATCTTCCACTGGTAATAAAGCATCTAATATTTCAGAAGCTTTTATAATATCAGATCTAGATGCAAGGGAAGGCAATAAAAAGTTTATCACTTGTAACAGTAAAGGCCCTTGAAATACTTCCTGAAGCATATATTGGAGGACTTGTATCCTAAATAATAATAATAATAAAATGTAAATATTTTACAATTTTTTATTTTAATAAATATAATTTTTATAATCCTCAAACTTACCTATACAATGAAGAACTTTCAATTAACAATGGTCCCATGAAAAGATCTAAGAGAGAAGAGGCTATTGGAGTTGGAGGATTTGGCGAATTTGAAATAGAATCTGGTACACGATTTTCCAATATAACAAGGAGATGTTTAAAATACCCTAAAATGTTAAAATATAAATTAAAAATTACTGACAAAAAAAATGCATTTTTCTTTCATTATAATAGGATTTTATGTTTAAGTTTAAATTAAATTTTAAACAGCAATAGTGTCAGGAGTCAAATATATTGGAAAGACACACACAGTATCTCTCAATGTATATTGAATATGCTTTTCAATAATACAGTAAAAGCTCTGTAACTGAACATTTTTCACATTCAGTTTGGTATTTGCAATAGCTTTTCATATTCAAAAAGTTAAAATGTTTATTCACAAAAATATTAACAAAAATAATAAATCAACAGATGAAAAATTAAATAATTTTGAATACCAATTAAGAGAACAGCAAGCAATCAAGTATTAATTTTTTTTAATGCTTTTATCTTCTGTGTTCTACTAAAATTCATGTGGTAATCTATTAAACCACCACCTACAAGCATATCTCAGTTTCTTGTGTTATTTTAGCAAATGCACATATATAAATAGTAAATGTGTTTATTAATACTCAATGTAAATGTCTGCAATATGCTCTATTTGAAGATTTTACACAAATAAAAGTCATCCAAACAAAAAAGATTCAGTAGCAAACTATCAAAAAGACCAAAGTGATGTCCTTCAAAGATAAAATTAAAAAGTTCTATTGTAAGGAGAAAATTCAGCAGCTTTGGTTGATCATGCTTTAATTGTAAATAAATTTACTGTATGATACATTAAGAAAAAAAAAAGAGACAGACAGATGAACTAAAATGTAATAGAAAAATTTCTTAATATAAAAACATGTTATTTTCTAATGACAGGGCTGATAGTAGTAACAAGATTAGAAAATCCAGCAACAAGTTACATAGCTTTCCTGGCAAAAAAATTTAAAATTGTGTGTGGCACCATCTGTTATTATATTTTATTGAAAACTTTTAGTTATTATTAATTATTTTAAAAGAGCAAAAAGCTTAATTTTGAGGATAGAGATGAGTTTTATAATAAAAATTGTAAATTCTAATAATGAGTAAAACAGTAAAACATTAAGTTCAACCCCTCTTAAGATAGGACATACCTATCTCCCCACCACAACCTTTAAATACCGAAATTTAATAGCATTGATCTCTCTGAAAAAATTCAGAAATTTTTTATAAAAGGCACAAAAGTTAGTAAGCTTCAAAGTAGTTGAACAAAATTGTGCTATACAAATATCCATACATACAGAAAAACTGTCAAATTCTTTTTGCATTTCTCAACATTTCAATATCTCATGTCCAAAAATATAAAAATCTTGGGAGGGATAATTTTTTGACTGATTGCCATCTTTACCAATGTTATATATCTATATTGTCACATGTCTATACATAATATATGTTGATTATAATTAAAGTTCTGATTTCACAATATTCAGAAAAAACCACTGATAAGAATGACTTGACATTTTGCATGAATATTCATAAAGCAATAGAATTTTGTTTTGTGAAGAAAAAATTTAGTTCAATACTTTGCTGCTAGGGGGGACAATTCATGCTTTATTAAAGTGGAAAGCAATACAAAAGTAAAAAACATTTACGAGTGACATAACAAATGTTCAATATGCTGTCCTTTGCACATCCTAATACAAAGCTGAAATTACAAAATAAGCATGTTCAACAACAGATCTGAATGTTTCTGTAGAGATGATGTGGTTATGATGCATGATGCTGGCTTTCGTTTCTAATAAATCTGTAATGGGTCCATTAAACACAACATTCTTTAGATGTCCCTAAAGTCAAAATTCAAGTAACATGGGTTCATGTCTGATGAACATGCTGGCCATATTACAGGAAAGTGGTGGCTGATTAGTCTGTCATTTCCAAAATGCCTGCAAAGCAGCTACTTCACTGATATCTGTTATATCACAAATGTTTGTGATGTGTACTTGTCACATAAGTAATTCGCATCTTTTGATACTGACGGGATACATCACAGATTCCCTTAGCAGCAAATTTTTTAATTAAATTTTTTCTTCACCAAATAAAATTCCATTGCTTCATGGATATTCACACAAAATGTCAAGTCATTCTGACCGGTGGTTCTTATTTCAGATCATTGTGAAATCAGAACTTTAATTATAATCATCCTGTATTATAGCCAGAAAAGTAAAAATGGGACATTAAAAGCAACAAGACAAAATGGAAAACCTTTTAGCTGATATAACTTTATTTTAGACAAAATTTATAACTTTTAAAATTTAATCCTTTTTAATTAATGATAACTAATAGATCATATATACAATGTAATCTAATGATTTTTGCTTTAGAAATAATTTTAAATTATTAATAGAATATTACTAACAAAAACTTTAAAAGTCAAAGGTTATGAATCTTTCATATATAAAATTATGAGATAATTGTCAAATTATATACAGTATCATAAAAAACACTAAAATATACATGGCATTTTATAAACAAATTTCCAAAAACTACCAGTTACTTCTGCAAGTGATTTCATTTATTCAATATATTAAATAAATACAATGCAAGCAGACCTGACTATTATAGTAAACAATATAAAATGTCAATCAATCTTTGTAATAACACTCGTTATATCAAATAAAGAGGTTAAAAAAATTGTTATTTTAAGTTTGATACACAAAGAAATTATATAATTTATACAAAGTTAGCACTGCAAAACTATTCCTGAATAAAATTTGGTAACAAAAATCAGATGGCAGTGTAGCAACTCAAATATCCAAAAGAATATTGCAAGATTCAAGAAGGTGTTTTCTCATATCCATCACTGTTGTTCCATAAAAAGAACATTCGGAGTTACATAAGACATTAATTATTTTACCATTTAGGTTTATCGAAAACTAATGATGCAACGAATATTCGGTTACTATTCAGTATTCGGCCTATATTTCGCTATTCGGCCGAATATAGAATACCTAGAAAAGAAGTAAGAAATAACAAAAACACAGTAAATTAATCATTTTAGTAACTTTTATTAATGCTGAACATACATTTCAAGTTGCAAGTGCAATTTTTGTGCAATTTTTTGCTTATTTATGTAAAAAATCAAAGGAAAAGTAATATAACTAAGTCAATTTTTTAAGAGATCAAAAAAAGGTAGCAAAGCATATGAAAACTAACTACTTATTATGTAGTTTAGTCATCTATATACTCGTATATAAAAAAACACGTCCTGATAGATTAATTAACGCAGAGCCAAAAGTACTGGTGCTAGCCAGGTAGTATGAGGCACATTGACCATTTAAAATATACAATCTGTACAACTTAATCAATTGTAAAAAAACTTTTTCCCCTTTGATTTAATATTAAATCATTAGATCTTCGAGAATTTAAAACATTAGTATTACTCCCATCATAAAAATTATCTAGTTCCTCACCCATTCTAGCATTCATGTCTCCCAAAATAACTATCATCCTCAGAGAAACTAATCAACAAATCTTCCATTTTTTTAATAGTACATCATAAAGATCTACTCTCAAATAAACAAGAACAATTATCAAACTATGACTACCATGTTTCCCTGAAAATAAGACAGTGTCTTATATTAATTTTTGCTCTGAAAAATGTGCTAGGTCTTATTTTCAGGGAATGTCTTATTTTTTCCAGGAAGAAGAATTCACATTTATTATTGAACAAAAAAATTCCCAAGTCGAACTTAGACAAGAGTGACGTATATCCGGTGTGGCGAACTGTCGCCTTTTTATAGCGTCAACATCGGACTCGACCAATTAGTGCTTACTGAACCGTAGCGCTATGCAAATGTCATGTGGTGTGATTCCCGGCCGACCAATTAGCCATCCCCAGCCGTAACGTTATGCAAATCTGTGATTTCCAAGCCATAGTCTTATGCAAATCATGCCATGTGGCATATTGTCTGCTGACCAATCAGTGGCTGTACTTTCAAAAAGCCAACGGCCACTTTCAACCATCTGTCGATGACTGTTACAACTAAAAAAAAACTTCGCTAGGTCTTACTTTCAGGGGGAGGTCTTATATTGCGCAATTCAGCAAAATCTGTGCTAGGTCTTATTTTCTGCAGATGTCTTATTTTCGGGGAAACACGGTAGGTGAACAAAAATTTTTCTTACAATCTAAATTTAATCACTATTAGATTGTTGAAGTTAAACAACATTTCCAAAGAACCTAATTTTTGGGAAATTGCAAGAATGAAACCACCATATGGACGACCGAGACAAATTGGTTTTCCAGCAAATTGTTCATATAAAAACAAATCTGGGTTCAACAAAGAAAATACTGGTTTATAAGAGTTAGTTGACCAAGTCTCAGTAAAAGCAACTAGATCATAATTTTGCAATAAATATATAAACTCTCAGTCATTCACTGTCAAGTTCAGCATTCCTTGACAATATTCTCATTACTAAAGTTTTATTTCTCTTTAGCAATTGTTCCACTTAACCCTTTTGGCTGGATTTGTCTAAAAAAGTATCAATCTTCTGTAACTCATTAGTTTCTAAATTGAAAGTGAATTTGTCACCATCAACTGTCAGGCAATCAGCTTTCAGAAATACTTTTTTATTCAAAGATTTAGCTTCCGCAAAAAAAGGCAACAATTTTCTACGCCTTAGTCTTGCACTATATGACAAATCATCAAAGACGCTAATGCACAAGTAGGACAGTGACGCCTGAATTTTCTTTAAATTTTTAAAAATAACTCTTTTGTCATCTTGAGTATAGAGCTCAAACAATGTAAGCCAAGTTCCCGACATATGATAACTATTAATAAAAGGAATAGACTCCCCATTTTGTCTTTTAAATAATTCAATAAAGCCATTATCATTATTAACTAATTCTCCATCATTACCACTTAAACCAGAAACAACAATGTTATTTTTCTTCAAATTGTTGGGTACAGAGTCTATATAATAATTCTGAAGAGAAAATTTATCCATACATACAGTTTTAAAAGACGAAAGTTTGATAATTTCTCTTTCCAGGCAAGATAGACGTTCATTGTACTCCTTATGTAAATTAGACAACCAGTCAAATTTCAATCACATTTCTTCCAATTTCAATAGAATAGTATCAAAACATTCCTCAAGAAAACAATCTTCTGTAGTAGTTGAGAAGGAATAACCTGAGATGCAAAATAGTCATCCAGTCGAGATGATTTCAACATTGGTTCACTTGGAGATCAACAACATTTACCAGCAGAAGTCAAAGTTTTATTGTGAGGTGAGGAAGATGGTGTACGAGACATTGGACCTGGGTTAAGTTCAACTCCTCCAATAACAAGCAAAAAGAACAAAATTAGAAAAGAAAGTATCACAGTAGAAAAAGACATCCTCAATAAAGTTAATTAATGGCAACCAGCTGAATTGTATTTCATAACAGTAAGTTGTAGAAAACACACTCCAACAGCCAGCACTGTCAAAAGCCCCCCTATAAAATGTAATATTGTGTTTTGACAAATGGATGAAATAGTAAAAAGAAATTTTACATTATTTGTTTGTAGTTTCACTGTTGTTAGATACAAATTATCAATTATTTGAGCAATTTCATTAATAACTAAAATTTATCTATTAAAATAAATAATAAACTTGATAATCACTAACCTCTTTTAATTAAAAAAGTCCATAAATTTCTCAATAAGTCCTGTATAGTTCTTGTTTCTTTAGAAAAATTATATGTATTTACAGATGTGAATACTTCAATAAGTCTCAATGGGACTGCTAATGGAATTGGATTTGAAACTTGCCCAACCAAATACCTGGAATGAGTCAAATTTAAAAATAAATTTAAAACAAAATTTTGATTAATATTAAAATATTGTAACAACATTTTAACATAAAATATTACACATTAATGTGTAAATAATCAATATAATTTTAGAAAAAATAAATTTACTCCTTTCACAACTTAAAATTACATATTTTAAGAATATCTTTTAACATTTAACTAAAATTCCAAAATATTTTTTCTATTTTAAATTTTCAGATTAACTAATTCTTACCTCAAATTCAGCATTAAGAGTTTCTGTATTCTTGTTTTCCAATGAACAGAATCATTTAGTAGCATACTTGCAATTAATGAACTATTTTGAAGAGTTATTTGACTAATGCATGCCTAAATTTAAAAATTTATTACATTAACATATTTAAATTGTTTTCTATTAAATCAAGTAATGTATTAATTACTGTTGTATAATCTTCATAAAAATTTATAATATATTAAAAATCTGATAAATCATTAAAACACTTTAAAATTTTAATTTATTAAATATAACAGTTGTAATATTACAATTTCTAGTTTTTCATCTTGTCTAACAAACTTTTTCTACTTAAAAAATTCTCCCTCATTGTCTATTAAGAGTAAGAATGAAAACAGTTTCATTTATGATAAAATTTTAACTGAAAACGTTTTTAATTTTATCATACACAGGTTAAAAAAATATAACTTTTTAACACAAACACTCTACAACATATATAAATGAAGATTAATATGTGGCATAAGCAAAAAGTAACTAATCCACAATTTAAAACCAAAGCACTAATGAATCTAACTTCAATGGAAATAAATAGCAATGATACAGATTGATAAAACTGAATATTTAGAATGACAGAAGTGTGAAACAGTTGTCATAATTTGGAAATGCTATGTCACAAGGTTAGAGAGGTGGTTTTTGCAAAAGAAATTCATGCAGTTATTCAATTTTTGGGATCAAAAAGGAGGTTCATGCCATCACATACTTTTTTCATTAAGAATTTAAATGAAAAATTTTACTTCTCAGCTGGCAGGATTTTTTTATCTGCTTAAACTTATTGCATTAAACAATTATTATTATTGAAATACTTCAGCTAGTGTTTAATTTTGAAATAATTTTGTTTATGTGAATTCAAATTTTAATAATTTTTCACCTCTTGAATTGTCATTTAGAAATTCTTAAATGATAATTAAAGCTTTTGATAAGCTTTAAATATAACTATATTTAAAGCTTATCAAAAATTGTTTTTTTGCATACAATTTAAATATATCTATAGAAGCTGTAATATTTAGGTTTATATTAGTTCTTTATATTACATTTCACCAAATTATATTTAGTTTAAATTTACTGTTTTTAATATAGAATCTGTGCTTCGCAGATTTAAAATTTATTTCTTTTTTATATTTAAGAAATAAAATAGTAATTGAAAATAAATATAAAAAATTGTTTATATTAACTTACCAAACGTTGTGAATCACATTCTTCTGTATAAAAATAAATAAACTTTTGCAATAATTTACCTATTATTTTTATTTTTTCTGATGATGATGTAATTACATTATAGTATTGTAGAGTATTATCAAACTGATTTCTTTCATTAATTTTCTGAAAAATAATCAACAAAAAATCTTATGAATAATTTTTATATAAAATTTTCTTAGTCTACATTTCTGTTTTAGTTATTCTCACTTGTTATTTTCATTTGATTATTTACAAATGTTTATACTTTAAATATGATAAAATTAAAAGAACCTTTCTTCTATGAATTTTCAATTTATATCTGATAAATTATTCAATATGTTTCTTTGTTTTCATTCAAGAAAACAAAGAAATGATAGAAATAAGAATATCCAACTATTTTTAAATGTTGTTTGATCTAAAACATAGCTGACATAATACAATATATAGTTTATCTTAATAATATGATTGATACAGATATGTTTGAATTGTAATTATATTTTTAGAAGCATGAACAAGCATGTTTCTTAATCATATTTCAAAGCATAATGCTAATTTCTTTATAAATCAGAATGAATAATACAATGGTGAAAAAACTGTGGCATACAGCCTGTATGATGATTTTCTGTGGGTTGTGAGCAATTACAGATTAATATTATTACTGACCACAATTGAAAAACTCCACTCAATTTCTTCAAATCTATTGCATTCTTCTTTATGAACCAAAATTTTTTAAAAAATGTACTTTAATTTTTCAGATGAAATTAACACAAAATAAGTTATTTGAAAGTATAATAAATTATTAGTTTTTATGGGAATATTTTTTATTTATTAAAAGTTAATAATATTGAAAGACAAAAAAAAATAAGTTTTTTAAAAATTAATTTTGAATGCAGACAATTTTATTAAAACAATGTTGAGAACACTGAAGAGAAAATAATAAATGTACAATATTCTCCCACTGCTCTACAATTATTACAAGTTTATTGCTCAATATATAATATTGAGCAATAAACTTCATAAACTTATAAACATTAAACAATAAACTTATTGCTCAATATATAATATTGAGCAATAAACTTCGTCTTAAAAAAATCTCAGCATTGTTTTAATAAAAGTTTCTGTATTCAAAATTAATTTAAAAAAGTCCATAAATTTCTCAATAAGTCCTGTATAGTTCTTGTTTCTTTAGAAAAATTATGACACACATTGTAAGCTGCCCAAGATGGCCAAGATTTCTTTTTATGTTTAGACCTAACGAAAGACTGCGTGTGCAAGCAATAAAAAAACTTTATTTTTTATGTAGNAATTAATTAAATTAAATAAATATAAATATTTATTTATTAAAAAAACATATTTCTTTACATACAGGGTGGTTATAGTTAAAGTTGCACTAATCAGACCTGTCTCATGGATGTATTTTGATGAAATTTGGTATACAGTAAAACCTGTCTATGGCAACCACCCACGGTTTTTTCAAAAAGTGGTCTTTTAGACAGGTGGTCCTGTATAACATATTTCCATATGTATTTTGTGCACTTTTTAGCCATTTCTACTAAGCAAAACTTGAGGTGAGCAAAAATAAGTGAATTTTTTCAACAATAGGGCTATATTAATATTGTATTTTATTCTTATCAGATAATCCAATTTACAGAAGTCGCCGTAATTTTATAAGACAGATTTAATACCAATATTTTAAAGATTAATGCAATACCTGCATTTTCTTGATTATAATGCACACTTTCTTTTTTCTGACTTAATTAATTTGACTTGGCTCTTTTCATTCACTCCTCAGTTACGTATATTATGTCATCGATATACAAGCGCGTCCTATCTCTCCATCACTTTGGTTTTGATTTTCGTTAGTTTAATCTTATTTTAACTTTAAAAATACTGTATTTTTTAATATTTAATATTTTCTTAAGTACAATAAGAACAATTATTATTGGGTTGTTCAAAAAGTAATTTCGTTTTTTTTTACCACTAGATGGATTAGTTATATTTTTTTCGCCATTTTCATTCTAAACCGTATTATCATTATATATTTTGACAGCTAGCATTTTAAGGCTTATTTGTAAAAAATTTTGTTTGATTTTGTGCAAATTGTTTATTTTTTCTGTTCCATCAAATATGGAAGATCGAAAGCAGCATTTTCAGCATATTTTGCTCTTTTATTACCAAAAAGGTAAGAATGCTGTTCAAGTGAGAAAAAAATTGTGTGACATGTATGGAGATGTATTGACAGAACGACAGTGACAAAACTGGTTTACAAAATTTCATTCTGGCAATTTCAATATTGAAGATACATCACGTTCTGGATGGCCAGTTTGAACCAATGAAAACAAAATAAAGGTACTGATTGAAGCAAACTGCCGAGTAACAAAACGTGAAATCACTAAGAGATTAAATTTGTCAAATTGAACTGTTTATGATTAATTGAAACAAATTGGTTTCATTTCAAAGCTTGATATATGGGTTCCACATGTTCTTAAAAAGAGATGCTCTCTTTGGTGGGATTTTAAGGAAATTTTTTTTGGAGCTTTTACCAGACAATTTAACAATTGATTCGAAAGTGTACTGCCATCGAGTAAACAAATTGAGTAATATCATCAAACAGAAAAGGCGACCAGAATTGATCAACAAAACAGGTGTAGTGTTTTACCACAATGTCAAATTTCACACAAGTTTGGTAACTTGTCAGAAACTGTTATAACTTAGATGGGATGTGCTATCACACCAACCATATTCGCCAGATCGAGCACACTCAGATTATTACTTGTTCCGGTCTATACAAATTTTTTCTAACTGTAAGACATTTACTTGAAATGACAATGTCAAAAATCACTTGGATCAGTTTTTTGTAAGCAACAATCAACACTTTTATGAATGTGAAATTATGCTACTACCAGAAACGATGACAACAGATATTTGACCAAAATGGTCGATATATAATTCAATAAAATATTTATTATAAAAATATTGTTTTTTTCCCCACAGGAAAAAATGAAATTACTTTCCAAACAACCCAATAATTAATAATAAAACTATTTTATTATTTTTTTCTCATAATACGATTTCATTAATGCTGTAAGGCATTTTGAACATGTGACTGATGCAAATGATTGCATTGTAAGGCGTTTTGAACATGTAATTGATGCAAATGGATTGCAATTGAACAAATGTTGTGAATGAAAACCTTTTGCGTGTTTCCATTTTGTGTTTCTTGTTCTTCATGCGCCATTTTATCGCCTAGTGGTAAAAATTCAAACTAAATATTTTTTTGCATTTCCTTTTCCCCATGGTCCATATAACATATATACCAAATTTCATCAAAATACATCCACAAGAACAGGCTCTAGATAGGTCTGAGTAGCACAACTTTAATTATAACCACCCTGTATTTATTTATTAATTTATTTACAATGGTTTTTCTGCATTTCTCAGAGCTAACAACAACTTTCTTGATGGCCTGCAGAAAAAAGTTTCCCCACCACTACTCTAATACATACATGACAGGTAAAGAGTAACTGTATCAATAACAACACACTATTTTTACAATAAATGTAAAATGTTAATTTTGCATAATTATCAAGTTATATATAGATTACTAATTGACATCTTTTAATAATTTTCAATAACTTTTTTCCTAGCTACATCATTCATCTTATGTTTTTATTACTAAAGATTATTTGTTTATTCATAAAACATATTAGTATACAAAAATGTCTATTATGTTATGAAACTAAATTTTAATCTTTTCATAGAAAAACAAAAAATGAAAATAAACACACAAATTTAAAACTACTCTTGCAGATAAATGAGCTTTCTGTTATGAATGTTTTCAGCCTACTTCAGATGAAACCTTATACCCCGTTCGCACCGAGCATTTCAATCTAGATTGTGACTAAGGTTGGAGAGAGTTCCGTGGTGCGAACGCTCTCGACCATTTCAATCTCGACTGAAACGAGGTTCTATCGCAATCGACTGGAGAGAGTTCATGGAACTAGATCCAGTCATAAGAGAGATCCCACAATCCCACGCGCACGAGAAAATACAAGATGGCTGCGGAACACGTGTCAGGCTATCGACAGAGAAATAAAAAAGACAGCTGGAGAGATGACGACATCTGTCTATTATTAGATGTACGGCAAGAAAAAGTATTTATTTCTAACCAAAACTTCCATTTTGTTTGTTGGTGTTTGTGACTTACCGCGTACTTACGTCAGTTTTATGATCGCATGTAATAGCCAGGTTCTTCTCGAGCGGACTGCCTGTGCGAACAGCACGACGTTCGACTAGCGACAGTCACAATCCAGATTGTGGGTAAATCGAGATCGAAGTGAGTCGTGGATTGTGTGCGAACGTAGTATTAGATAACCAGAAGGATTTGACTTTTGAACAGTTCACCTGAAGAATGTCTTAGAAATAGACCAAAACTGTTCACCACAACAGAAATCTCACTTATCTGCAAGTCCAGTTTAACATTTGTGAGTTTATTATCAGTTAAAATTGACTTAAATTAATTACTTTCACTCACATTATGCTTTCTACTTAGACATCCTCTAACAAATGCCTGTATTTTAATAGCAGCAGAGATTTTCTTTCGGGTAATCTAAATAAATATCAAATTGAAAAACATCATAAACCACTTTACTATACAATTTAAAAAGCAATATAAAATTTAAACCATTTAAAAGAATCTTTAAATCAACATTCATTTTAAGTCAGTGGTTCTCAACCTTTTTTGTTGATGTACTCCATTAGCCCATTAGTTGTTTCTCAAGTACAGTACCCCTTATATTTTTGTACGTAAATTTATAATTACTGCATTAGATGTATACAGCCCTTATAACTGAGCGCCATAAAAAAAACTCTAACTATAACTAAAAGTAGATTACTTATTTTACGTAAATATTAATCAATTTAAACAAGTACAGTACATATATTTATTTATTATTATTTGATAAGTATATTATATAAAATCACAGAAGTCATTTCAATACATGCATAATTTACATTTCCTAAAAATAAATAATTATAATTAACGATAAACAAAATTTAAATTATTCTACAATAATTTCTAACAATTTAATAGGATATTTGTTGCAATAAATCTTCAGCAAGTTTTTTCAAAATTTGGTTCTCATGCATCAGCAGACAACAAATGTCTGCTGATGCGTCAAGCCTGTCTCTTTTTTAGTTTTTGTGTCACAGTATTTGGCACAAATACATTGTTAAAATGGTAAAAGATGGATGTGCCACTTCTTTAATCCTTACAACTACACCAGACCTTGCATAGCTTTTAGCTCCATCAGTAAAGATGTCAATGAACTTTTTCCAATCTATTTCATTACTTTGAATGAAATCATCGATTTTATTGAAAATATCAAAACCTGTAGTTGTATTTTTTAGGTTGTCACACATTAACAAATCTTCGCAAAGCTCATCATTGTACTGATATTTCACAAAAACTAAAAGTACTCCCAATCCACTGACATCGGTGCTTTCATCTATTCTAAAATTAATGCTTGGTTAAACCAAAATTTTACTAGACTACAGGTTTACTCGGCACTAATGGCACAAATAGACAGGTAAATCAAGTGGATAAACAAGTTGTTTGGACTTTAAAAGTGAAATCAGTGTTCATACTGGGATATTTTAAAGCAAGTTTTTGTCATTTCTTGTGTTAATAATTTACAGCAAATTCATTAACATATGCCATTTTATAATGAAAGTTAGATGTACTCCTTCGATTTACGCTCGTACCCCCAGTTGAGAACCACTGCTTTAAGTGAAAATATTAACACTATTCATTCACTGTTTAAAATATAATTAATTAATAAATTAATCCAAACATATTTTTTATTAATAAAAATAATGCATTAAGATTTATTTAGAAAAAGTTATGAAATTAAATTATAATTTATGTTTGATTATTTTATAAAACTTGGAAAAATTCTTTAAGTAATAAAAATATGTATCCAAACTAATTATTTGATTATTTAATTTTAAAAGATGAAATTTTTCAGGTAAACAAGCGGAATTTTTTAATTCAAACAAAATAAACAAAATTATGTTGCTTTAACTTGAGATAATATCTAATCTTTACACATAATGTAGAAAATTATAATGTGAGAGTAGATATAAAATTATTTTAAGAAGTCTAATTATTCGTCATTGAAAAATCTTCATTATTATAACAACTTTTGAATGCATATTATTTTTAAACTTGAAAAATACAATAGATAACCCTTCAAAATATATTATTAAAAAACTGGAACACTGAAGACTAATACTTTGATATTTTTTAAAAAGATTAGATAATGTATTTTTTTGAATATTCATCAGGGATCACTTTATATAATACTATATGTGTTCAACTGATATTCTTTCCCGATTTATGTCACCAACATTAAAATTACAACTGTGATCATTTGCAATAATTACAAGTAATCTTTTAAGTTTCCTGTTACATTTTTCAGAGTAATTATAATCTGTTTTGATAGCATCTGATGTATTGTGATTTTTCAGATTGTAGGAGTAACATCTACATATTATTCAAAACTAACCGAACTTTACCAAAAGTTTTTATTTTCATAATGGAACCGATTCAAAATATGCAATGTCCAACTTTTCAAAATTTAAAAATAAGGACCACCCTAATATGTTTTATCTTTCATTTATTATTGTTACTTAATAAATTACTGTATAAACATTTCCAGCCATTACACTGGCTTTCTCTGGCATAAAACAAATATAAACAAACACAAAAATTAAATAAATTATTTTACAAGAATTATTTAAAGATAATTTAATGTAAAAATTCTATTATTTTCTTCAAGATTTAAAATTTTTTCCTTAGTTGAAAATAAAGGAAATTCCTTTAATGATTAATTTAATTTAATATTTCCTCCTATTATTACAATCTTGTGCATCAGCTTAGATATTTAAAATCTTGAAATTTAAAAGAATTTTTAACAAAAATGTTTACCTCTCTTTCTTGTCTTTCAAGTGCTGCTTTTCTTAATAATTCTTCTCGGGGAAGCTATTAATATATTAATAAAATATTTTTTAAATATTTAATACACATATGAGATAATTTTTAGCAAAAGAAAAAATATATATATAGAAATTTATGATTCTTATTAATTACTATATAAATGTGAATTTAATAAAACTCATAATTGTTATAACTTATTAAAATACATTTAAATTTTTCTCCACAGTCTAATGTAAACCAAATTTTAGTTTTAATAAATCTATAGTATGAATTCTTTAAATTCAATATAAACATAGAAATAGTTTGAATCAAAATCTTATTAAAATTATTTTTCAAATAATCATGAGTATAAGTTCTGAAGAAACTGCAAATATAAATATAAAACTTCAACAATAAAAATTTGTAATTATAAAGGTTTATATGAGTAAATTAAAAAATAGCTATTGGTTTTTCTCAAAGTAAAAGTTATCATTCAAAAATACAAATTATTATTATAACACATTACCACCACATCCTTGAATACTGAATTTTGAGTTGCAAAGCCACTTTAATACTGTGTTTACATTTTATTTGCTAATGACATTAATTTATAAAAAAATTATGAAAAAATATAAATATATTTTTTTCTTTTCATAAATACTAAGTTTACAATCATCACAATTAGGGTTTCTCAAACGGGATTCCGGGATCCCAGGATCCCGGTTGTTTTTTTAACCCGGGAAATATCCCGGGAAATCCTGCAAATTTCTTAAAAATTCACTTTTTTTCTTATTTTGTGTTAAGTTTGAGGAATTTTGCAAATAGAAAGCATAATTAACTCATTCACTGTCAGAATACATTTGTATTTATTAATTTTAAACCTACCTATTAGTTTTTTTTTAAATTTTTGCTCGTTATAGCATGTCACAAATGGTCAATAATCAATATATAGCTTATTTGTGGCAGGACTATAAAAATTCTTTACTTGTCATATCTGGAATAATTGTGCTTATGCTGTCTTGAGTTTTAACCATGCTCAGTAGCTTCAATACAGTAAATGCCTGACACCAGATTGTGCAATTGGGCAAGGATACAAACGAGTACAAAGTCTGCAAGTATGAAGTTTTTCTTCATAAACCTGATTATTAAAGCCAAATGAATTGCCGAATTATCGAGCTCTGAATAATCGAATCGAAATAAATCGAAGCTTGATGCCGCTATTAAAGCAGCCAAGGTAGACAAATCAAGAATACTAGAGAGCGAAAGAAGTACTACAATCTCAAAAACGAACTTGAAATCTTCCAGGCTACAGGTGAAAAAACACATAATATCTGTCTTCTCTTAAATGCATTAAACACTATTCCAATCACATCAATTGAATCGGAAAGGGCATTCTCGGTGGCAAGACTTTTCATTACTAAAATAAGAATTAGAGTGAGTTATCGGAGTATTGACCATCTTTGCTTTTTAAAATCTTATAAAAGTTTGCAATATTTTGTATTATATTTTATTTAAAAAACGAAAATTACCTTCTAAATTAGAAGTTCATTTTTTTAATTTTTAACTCAATTCAAAACATTTTTTTTGTTGTTGTTGTATGCAGTTTCCAGCAAACTTTAATTAATTTTTTTCTATTTGTGAAAATTTCTACGTTATTTAAAGGTAATTTTTATTATAGGCCTATAGACCTAACACAGCATTATTAATATGATTTTGGAGGTTACAGAACTTTAAAATTACTTTAAAAAGTGGAAAATAATTATATCATTTGATTTCAAGATATTTTGTATACCTTAAAAATAATTAATTCTATCCCGGGATTTCGGGAAACAGTTCACTTTTATCCCGGGATCCCGGGACAAGCAAAAGACCGGGAAATGAGAAACCCTAATCACAATATAATGTTTTCAATTCAAAGTCTTTTTAAACATTTTTAAATTTCTAAAAATCCTACCATAACTATATATATATACAGGTATAGGACAAAATAATAGGAACACCCCTTTCGAAATGTGTTGTACTTCGACCGTCCAATTCACCCTACCACATGTTGCAACAGTCTGCCATCCAGTGGGGATGAAAGGGAAGGTATCAGTCGAGCATTTGGCGATGTGACAGTTGCATGAGAAAAATTCTGTACCCAGAAAAGTGCCATTATGTCCAACCTGTCCGACGTGCAAAGAGGCATGATTATTGGAGTTTGCCTCGCTGGAGTGTCCATGTCTAGAACAGCCAACCTTATGGGTGTTTCAAGATCCACTGTGTCAAGGGTTATGACAGCCTACACAAAACTGGGAAAGGTATCCTATACGAAACAGAACAGTGGGCGAAATTTGAAGTTGACCGACCAGGATAGTTGAGCGTTGAAGAGAATAGTCACCCAAAAAATGTAAAACTATACTGCAGCAGATAACCTCTGAGATGAACACCCATCTCCAGAACTCCGTATCCATCAAAACTATTCAACGGGAGCAGCATGCTGCGAGAATTCATGGCTGAGTAACCATCCCAAAGTCATTAGTGTCGCTGCATAATGCTATGAAGCGACGACAGTGGTGCCAAGACCACCGAAACTGGACACAACAGCAATGGGAACAGGTCATCTGGTCTGACGAATCATTATTTACATTATTTCAGACCACCGGACGTGTGTTCATCTGGCAGACACTGGCAGAAGCATTTCGTGTTGATTGTTTGGTTCCTACCGTAAAGCATGGAGGGGGCTCTGTGATGCTGTAGGGAGTGATATCATGGCATGGCTTGGGCCACTCGTAGTCCTGAGGGAGAAGGTCAGAGGCAAGCATTATCGCAGTATTCTCACAGATCATTTACACCCTATGCTTCATACTCTGTTTCCTGGAGAATGTCCTCTATTCCAAGATGACAATGCCTCTATACACACGGCTCACTGTGTTTAAACATGGTTGGATGAGCATAATGATGAAGTGGAACATCTCATGTAGTGTCCTCAGTCCCCTGATCTCATCATCATTGAGCCTGTGTGGGGCTTTTTAGAGAACAAAGTCTGTGCTTGGTTTCCTCCTCCACACACACTACCTGAACTCGAGACTGCTCTGCAGGAGGAATGGATACGAATTCCCATAAACTTTATTTCTCAATCCCAGTCAGATACAAGCTGTAATTCAGGCCAATGGTGGTCCAACTCCCTACTAATAAATATTCTGCATGTTTCACAGGTGTTCCTATTATTTTGTCCTATACCTGTATGTATGTATATGTGTGTGTGTGTGTGTATATATACATAGGTGTATAAGCTTAAATCTGCTGTTTTTTAGTCAGAAAAACACACGTTTTTTTCTTAGAAAGCAAAAACAAATTTATTCAAAGTACTTTCCCTCACTAGTGACACATTTGTTCCATCTCTCGGGCAATGTGTGGATACCATGCCAAAAAAATTTCTTCTCTTTTGAGGCAAACCACTCATCAAGCCATTTTCGGACGTCTTCGTAAGAATCGAAGTGCCGCTCAGCAAGCGCGTGGCCCATCGATGAAAAGAGGTGATAGTCGGAAGGGGCCAGGTCTGGTGAATAAGCGGGATGGGGTAGCACCTCCCAGTTGAGTGTCTCCAAGTAGTTTCGGACCAATGTTGACACATGCGATGGTGCATTGTCGTGGAGGAAAATCAGCTTGTCGTGTCTTTGCTGATAATCCGGCCTTTTTTCACGCAGAGCACAGTGCAATTTGATCAGTTGTTGGTGGTAGCGGTGAGCATTGACAGTTTCACCAGGTTTCAACAGCTCATAGTAGACAATACCCTGCTGATCCCACCAAACGCACAGCATTGTCTTCCGTCCAAAGCGATTTGGTCTTGGGAAAGATGTTGATGGTTTGCCTGGATCAACCCACGATTTCTTGCGTTTAGGATTCTCAAAATATATCCATTTCTCATCGCCAGTTACAATCCGATGCAGAAACGACTTTCTTTTTTGTCTGGCGAGCAAGATTTCGCATGTGTTTTGGCGTCGCTCCATCTGCCTATCGTTCAATTCATGCGGCACCCATTTTCCGATCTTCTGAATCTTTCCCATGGCACGTAGACGCATGGAAATGGCTGGTTGAGTAACACCCAATTGCTCGGCAAGCATTTTTTGCGATTGGGTATCGTCCTCATCCAAAAGAGCCTGCAGTTGATGGTCCTCAACCTTCCTGGGCCGATTTTCACGCTTCTTGTCGCTCAGGTAAAAATTTCCATCTTTGAACTGACGAAACCAATCTCTGCACGTGGTTTCCGATAAAGCTCTGTCTCCATAAGCCTCCACAAGCATTCGATGTGCTTCGGCAGCCGATTTCTTCAAATTAAAGCAGAAAAGCAAAGCTTGCCACATATGCTCTTTTTCTGGCACAAAAGTAGACATGATTACAAAAAAAAATATATGTTGTTGTATGAAATATCTGATGATGTGCACTGATTAATGTTGACAGACATCAAAATCATCAAAAAAACAATATGGCGTCGTCATGGTAACTTAATACGCTCGCTTACGCCATCTATTAGCAAACAGCAGATTTAAACTTATACACGTATGTGTGTATAAGTTATGGTGTATGTATGTATATAGTTATCTGCATCAAATGCATTTTCTGTAATAAAATTTTATTTTATTATTTTTTATCATATTTTATTAGTAGAAAATTTTTCACCTATATAACTTATGTATTGCTCTGCTTGGCCTCAGCCCATGAAATTTTGATATCTTTTCCAAAATCAAGGAAAAATTATGACATCAAAGATTCAAAATAAGATACAATTTCATGAATGTTTGAAGCAGTCTGTACATGTTGTCCAGGAGAATTCTGTGAACGGGATCAGAAACCTACCCAGATGTTGTAGAAAGTAAATGGATAATACAGATTATTTTAAAGTATGTTCTTAAGATGAGTTCTTATCCATCAATTAATTGTCAAGTGTAACATATTGATAACATTGACATTTTCCCATCATTATTCTTTCGAGCCACATGCCAGTGGGAAGTTTCCTCTTCAGTCACCTTTATGACATCACAGCCACTATACTATGTGGCCTACAGGTTTTAACTGTGGTATAT